AGTAACATGTTTCGAGCAACCACCTCTGTGTGCACTACCAGGGAACTAAAGGAAGAATCGCGCGACTTGGCTCGGCAAATAGCCATCTCCAATGGCTACGAAATAGTAACTCCACGAGATAAGTTTACAAGGAGAACGACGCGCCCACGCGAAACACTTGGCCAAAACAAAATCCCGTTTGTGTTGCCTTTTATAAGCGATGAAGTAAGCGCAGCTATAAAACGATGCTTAAGAAGAGCAAGTCTAGAGGAATCGGTAGCGATAGTTGAAATACCACCGACTACTCTACGTCGCCAATTAGTTCGCAACCGCTTGTATGACCGTCTGTGTGAAACAACAAATTGCGTAATTTGCCCTTACGGCAGGGACGGTGATTGCATGAGTTCAGGTACGATATACCTGATCTCGTGTAACAATTGCGGAGATGAATATATTGGCGAAACGGGCAGACCTTTGTGTATCCATATAAAAGAACACCTAGATGGCAAACGAAAACTAAGACGAAGCACCCCACTAGGCACGCATAGGACACAAAAGCATAGCGGAGACGATTTTGAAGTAAAAGTCAATATCCTCGCACAAGAGTCCAAAACACCAGCGCGAAAACTCCTAGAGGCTTTTTGGATCAATGCCAAAAACCCTACAATGAACAGCAGGGACGAATGCCCGGAGGTCATACGCGACCTGATCCCGTACGTTCGCATCGATTTTTGATGTGGGATAGTGCAGTCGTCAACCACATGCGACTATAATCAGCTGTTCTAAACTTCCTCATTGGAAGTCACGAAAAAGCGGTGGGTTTTTCGAGAAGTTGTTGATCGTGTAATTACCAAAGAGTCTTTCGTCTTTGTGTAAGTGTTATTGAAGCGTTTGGCCTAGTAGATTGTATATCAGTATACCCTTCCAGGTTCTGAAGAAGGCGATACTGCCGAAACGTCAGCTAGCGTTGTATTGTATTGTGTTTTTATGGAAGTAAATGTATGCTGTTTAAAAACCTCGCGATTGCTGAACAAGAAAACGACACATTCATATTCCAATGCCGAGGTTAAGAGAAAGTCGATCCTGGGAACTTCAGTGAGTCTTGTTACCGTGATGATGTGGTTCATCGTACTAAATCCTCTTCGAAACCCTGCTTGCTCACACGATTGCCCTTCGTCTAGTGTTCTGTCAATCCTGTTTAGGATGACTCGAGTAAAAAGTTTGTAGACGACAGACAGTAGGCAGATTGGGCGATGGTTGCCGATATCGTGGAGGTCACCCTTTTTGAACATTAGCACGGTCCTGTTGGTCTTTCATTAAGTAGGGACCTTGCATTCAGATAGGTAACGTGTGAAGAGCCGAGCCAGTGTGTTTGCAAGGACTCGCGGAAGGTTCTTCAGGTGTTCAGACCTTATCCTGTCCGAACCTAGCGCTGTTCGATTTTTCACCGACGAAATGGGATGTCGGATTTCGGAAGTGAGAACCAGTGCTACGACATATCCATCCTCCTTTATTTCGTGTTAGTCCGAGACAGCGTGGCTATTGAAGAGATCCGAGTAGTAATCGTGAAGGACCCTCTCCATTGCCTTTCTGAAAGTGTAGCTGTTGCTTTTGGTCGTCGGAGTGCAATCCTCTTGATTTTATAACTGGTGAATCAGTTGGTTTTCGAATGCTTTTCCCACCCTCTGCAGCTTCGACCATATTTGCTGCTCTTCTCAATTTAAGACCTTTTATCGCCTGTCTGCGTTGTTTTGCAAGTTCGGACATAAGTTCGCGGTTGCCTGCAGCTTGTGGAATTCGACACTGGCGGAACACCACGAGAGTTTCTCGACACAGTTGTCCCTTGAAGACTTTTGAACTCTCACCTTTCATAGTGTTAACGTGGAGATCTTGGATGAGAAAATAGAATTTCTCGTCTGTGTTATCACAAACACCATCTTCTCAAGGGCCGACTAATGAACTGAATAAATTGCAGTTTATAGTGGTTTCGGGTCTTCAATTTTTTAAAAGTTAGTGGCTTTCTATCCTTTCTACAAGAAGAGAAATCTTGCGCGAAGCAGGCGATCGTATAAGCACGTGTAGAATTTTTGGACAACAGCGAAATCGGTTAGCCCCATCCACCAGCTGTGGAGGCGCCACGTTAGTTTGCGACTACCAGGCAAGAGATTCCTCTATGAGGGAAATCAGTGGATTAAGTACATTTGTTATCGGAAAATAATGGCGAGTTGTTAAAAAATCAGCATCATCCGACATGTGTCAAGCGCATACAGATGAATTTCGACCAGTAATCTTTTGTTGTTTGAATAGTTTTCTACATGATTGAATTAAGACGAGGTTGATACGAACTCATCCGGCCAGTTTCGGCGCCTTCGAGCCCCTCAGAGCCGCGTTGGTCCATGTCGATGGTCCAGAGCAGGTCGTATCCATTGCTATTTCATTTCCAGTCACTGTGACGGGTTATGATTATTATTGGAATGGCTGCGTATACAAAACTGCCGTACTCTGCTCACACGACATGACATCATTTCATCGGGTTTTTTTACTTGTTTGTATTCATTATTTTTTATTTTTATTTTATTATCCATTTTTTATTTCATCACATCCATCATCCATGAAGGTTTTCTAGGATTCGTTGAATTTTACTCAAGTCGATCCTCCATGGAATCTAAGGATAGCCGTGCTATGACATTTCCAGCTGTTCTTCACAGGCACCTAGTACTTTTGTAGATTAGGACAGCAAGCAGATCCCTAACAGGTCTTGTATTGATCACCGATACCAGACAGATATGGTGCGGGGCCCGGTGCAGGACAGAACCAGAGATTTTGTGAGTTCTACTAAAGAGCATCTCGAACCACTGGGCTACCCGTACCTCCTAGTGTCCATAGAAAGTTCGTTTATCTTGTAAAATTAACTTTTTGCTCCTAAGTCATCTCTTTTTTTGATAAAGAATTGCCAATCAGTGGGTAGTCCATGTTCCTTTGCAATCTTGTTTCACTTCATCGGAATCGCCCCTAAGTCTACTTTTCTTGTCTATGTTTCAAATCCAAGTTAGTGTTAAGAAGTAGGTGGATTAAGACGATAAGCGACGAAGGATAATCTAAATATATGAATGGAACAGGCTTTCTTAAAATTGGTGAGAACGTTGCATTTCCAATATGTCGCTGTGCTTGAGCTTGGCCACTGCTCCGATGGGACACAAGTCGCAGAGCTCAAAGAACTACGAACAGTTGAAAGAACGGTCGTGACTTCTTAGTGGCTTGACTGCTCCGAAGATTATTATAAGAATAGTGGTCTTCTAGGGGTATTGCTTGTTATATGGGAAATGAGGGAAATATTCCATTTAGATAAAACCACAATGATGGTGACATATGGACAAAACTCGGAACACCAGCTCAGTTTCGAACCCATGATCACCGTCTCCGGGCGCTCACGTGTTATCCACTGCACCATCAATGCCTTTGATTTCATCTTAGCCATATCTTCACTCTATCCGTGCTATCAGCAATCGCCCATCAACGGGAATGATCTGGGAAGCACAAGTTGTATTGTGCGGAATACAATCATGAGGATGGCGAGACGTACTTCACATAATACCGTGTATGGTGGGACGGCTCGATTATATAGGAATACCAAGTAGTTAAGATGATTCGGTCGGAATTTGCTGCTCGCCTTTGTGTATGCCACGCGGAACTTCTTGTAAGTAGTAGTCACAATGCCGGAAACCTCAAACTTGGGTAAATAAACCGTTTGTCATAATTATACAACAATTATGGCATAACAGTGCAACTGTACAATTAATACAACAATGATACAAGTAATGAATAGGCGCAGCCTGATTTCTTGTGTTCAGGTTGCTCAAGAGTGAAGAGGTTGTCATAAGACTTCGACCACATGAGATCGGTGTGAGGAAAGGATATGGTGATTTGGGCAGCATTGCTGTGATCTGAGCTAGTCAGCCGTGGAGCCGTTTATATACCCTTTGGGTTGGGCGGAGTCAGGCTACAATAGGCGGAGTCGCGTTGCAGTAGGTGGAGTCAGGCTACAGTATGCGGAAGGACGGCTGCCGGAAACATTTCACAAGCGTTGCAATCTGATAAGGCGATAGTCAAAGCATAGGACTGTAACTGCAGATGTTTTTCATGAGATAACCGCCAACGAAATGTTAGCCATGTGGTTATCGGATCGTCATAAGGTCACCGGAAGCCGTATTCGAAAATGTTTGACATAAGGTTATCAGATCGTCATAAGGTCACCGGAAACAGTATTTGAAATGTTTGACATAAGGTTGTAATTGATTTACATAGAGAACATTCCAATATTCGTAAAGAATGTTCTCTATACCGTGCCAGGGCGCGTGTTGCACAGCACCCTCCATCCTTTCGGGGTCGGCAAATTGGCACCAGACTTCTCTGCGAGGATGGCAGCACTAGCTCGATACATAGTTAGGTCACCGCAAGTCATTGTAAAGGCCAGATATGCATTAATCATTTCCAACGATGTAGTGAAGTCGAATGCATGGCCCACCCCTCAGAAGTTGATCAACGCCAACAGTTTTTCTTACCTTGCTACAGAGAAGGAATAGGCAGTAGATGAAGGCTTCAACAGTCCATGGAGAGTTGCCTCATGAGAAGCAAACAACCGTTGGACCCCTGCAGGAATCGAACCATCAAGGATGCTCCAATCGCTTGCCGCGGCCGCGCTAACTCTTACGCATTACGTTCGATTCATCGCATCACTCGTTTTTCCTGAAGTGGTAGTCATCATCGCATCGTATTCCTAACGTAAGACTTTCCTTTGAACCGAGTGAGGTTTTGAGTAGGCTCACTTTCTCCAATGCAAGACATTCTTTTCTTTCTTCCACTTCTTGTTGAGTTTTGTAATTCTGAATCCCATTAGCCATAAGACCATTGCTGATCTATAAGCTACTACTTCGGAGTTCGTTGTCAAGAGCGATTCCCCCCCTAACACTGTTTTTGTCCCTCGTTGTCGCTTTTTTCTGTATGCGGTTTTCAGTGTAGAAATGGGAGCTGGCAGCGAACGGATTGAGAGAATTCTTGCGGGATTCGATCCCTCGAGCAATGGTCTTTCCGAGGATTTTATTCTGACAAAACTAACAGCGATGAAGGGCTGTGGCTGTAAAGTTCCAAGATCGGCAAGTTTTTTTTTCAGTGCTACTTGCTTATGTCTTTTATGGTTCTGTTTTCTCGTTTGGATATGAACTGGTTCTTTGTAGATTCTGCTCGAACTTCTGAAGAGTTTCAAGTGTGACAATAATGTCACTGTCGGTAATGAAGTTGGTGAGTGAAGATTGAGCATGTTCTCAGCAGTAGCTATTCAACCAGCAGGTGCAATAGGAACATTTGAGGTATTGGACTCGATAGTTGCGTGGTGCCTCTTCGGCACAAAGGTCTGAACCTCGTTCAGACGACGGATTTCTTCTATCCACTAATCGACGACCCATATCTGATGGTAAGCTGTTGGATTGTATAGTAATGAATGTTGTCGTTACAAAGTACGATTTAGAAGATAAGAATATCTTCTGTTCTGGCTACGGGTTTTTCTTTAAGTCCAGTATAGGGACGTGTCACCTGCGCGAATGTCTTGAGCGACTTGTATGCCATGGGTGTCGTCGACTGTGACAATATGCTCATGCTCCTTGGAGTGGCTGTCGATCTGGGCGAACACGAGCGCGACGTGATCGTCTCTATGTTTATCAAAGGATTCCAGGTGTGTTTTGATTTCTGAGCGATTTGATCTTGTCGATTTTCTTCTTTGTAAAGTTTCCATAGTTCAGTCTTATGGTTAGAATAAAAGCTAAGAGCTCTCGGCGTTGATCACTTCTTGAGGGATGCGGCATGCATTCGACTTCATTAAGCATCGTTTGGAGGTGATTGAATGTAAATCTGGCCTTTATAATGACTCGCGGTGGCCTATTGATGTATTGAGCCAGTGCTGCTATCCTCCGAGACAAGTCTCGTTCCAATTTGCTAATCTGGAAGGATGGCAGGCGTGGTGGGCCAGGAGCGCGGTGATCGATCCCGTGTGTGTGTTGCAGGGTTCCTCCGACCACTGTACCACACGTGCCCTTGATTATACGGTTATGATAGGTTGTAGATACTTAGACACTTCAACACTTGAACGGACCATCTTTACGAATTGTGTAGACTACCACGTAGTTTTTACAACAGTTGTTTCACCTTATTATTTTGCTGGGTAATTTTCATTTTCTCCAAAGTTTTTGTATAATAACCATGCCATATGGGTCTCGTCATCATATCACCAAAGGCAGTAGAACATGTCGAGCTTATCTCGAATGGTGGTAACATTTATCCGAATGATCGTTATTTTCAAACAATTTTTCAGTTCATTGTTAGTTGATGTGGTCTATTTAGGATGCGGCTGCATCTGCTGAAACGAAGGTCCGAGGCGGACAGACTGTTCGCTGTCCTTGGCTTCTTCTTGGAGGAGTTGCAAGCAGTGTGGTTTCTGACGACGAGATAATCAATGTGGATCGAGCGCAGCCTGGAGATATTCTTGTTCTGACAAAGCCAATCGGAGGACAGGTAACTGAGCCCATTTTTTAGCTGCTGCGCTGCTCCATATTACGACACGATCATTTTAAGGTCGCTGTGAATTCTTACGAATGGTTAAAGAAGAAGAATGGAAAAGTGGAGGAATTTCGTCTTGATGAAGGAAGAATCGTTCGCGCTTTCCAGCAGGTCACGGAACAGATGACCAGGTTAAACAGGTTGGTCTGCTTTTATTTTTTTGTTATCATTTAGTGATGTCCAATATGTATGGCTTACTGTTACGAGTGTTCAACGTTGTCATTTTTTCTGATTTTTTTTCTTCCGTTGGTGTCCGAAAGATTGCGGCATAAAAATATGTAATATGTTCAATATATTGAACGTTGCTAATAAATTCCTCACACAAAATCCGAAGCTGGTTTTCGCCGAGTCATAATTTCTTGATCACTAATGTGCTTGAGTGGTTGAGCTTTGCAGAGTTAGGAATCTTTATTACATCGCCTTATTTGTTTGTATACCTCCTACTACTTGAACAGTTCGCAGTGGCTGTGCGGACCCCAACAAAATTTCCATTTTCCGTTTTTCGCACGCTTGCTGGTTTAGTCATTGTAGTTTCGTGGAGTTCCGAGCTCAACTTCACCGATTTAGGACTGGTGAAGTATAAGACGTCGGCAACTTCATAGTTTTGTAAGGTTTCGTATTAATGGGTTGACCTCCAGTTTACCCCCTCATCGTGGCTAGGGATTTTCCTGTGTCGGGTTGCGATGTACAGCGGGTGGATTCATCCCCACGACAGATTCTCCCAATATGGGAAAGAGTGCGGCATTTCCAGGAAGCCCAGATAAGGGTAAACCAATACCATAATCCACCATTATCCTGATATCGTATTAGTCACATGGTTGTAAATCTCCATCTGGTTCACAAGAGTGGCGACTGCCTGTGGTGGTGACGACCTGGAGCTGGGTTTGACCAGGTTGGCCGCGGAACTCTATGGAACCAGAACTGCTAAGCCAGCAAATCTCCAGAGAATGGAAATTATGACGGGATCCGCAGAACCAGTGAAAACAGACCATCCACGTATCCAAGATGTTGATTATATGGGAGCAGAATAGTATAAAGTTGTCTGATCAGTAGCTTGACCGAAGTAGTTTCCTGTTAATTAACTGATATGATTCAGTAAAAGTAATATTATCAAGCTCTCTTCTTTCTCCAGATGTTTGTTTATTCAAATATTTCTAACCTTGTTGAGTAATTAACAATACCTTCTTTGTTTATGTTTAGAAATGCTGCCAAAATGCTTCACAAGTACAACGCCCATGCTTCTACCGATGTCACTGGGTTTGGTCTTCTTGGTTAGTTTTTCTGAATACTGTTTTGTGCAGGGCTGGGTTATGTAGTGTTAATTCGCGATCTGATGGCGGTGTTCCACTATTAATAGCAATAGGTACCACTCTTTCTGCAAAAGAGAGTTGCAACTTGGTTGCTTTCAATGGGCTGCTTGTTTATTAACCTCTAATATCTTCTGTTTTCTTTCGTCGTATCATTTTTTTTTTGAAAAATTGAATTCTCGATAGACTCGAAATCAAAATGTTTTAGAAAATGTTGTAGTCTCTTCTACGGGTCTGTTGAATCTTTAAACCGTCACGTGCTTTAGTTATCGAAAACTTATCGGCTGTTTGTTATGAGCTTCTATTCTCTTATGTTATTTATCAAGTTAGTAGGGCGCTGTGTTCTCATTAATGATTTAGTCGTTGAAGTAGAAAGTAATCTTTGATTTATGTCAGCCTATTTTATCCTAACGAACTATTACGCTGCAGGTCATGCGGACAATTTGTCTCGAGCACAGAAAGTTAAGGTTCGTTTTGTGATTGACACCTTACCCGTGGTGGAATACATGGATGAAGTCGCTCGAAGTATGCCAAGTGGCAACGGCTTCAATTTGTTCGGCGGCACATCGGCCGAGACAAGTGGAGGCTTGCTGGTCGCACTTGACCAAGGCGATGTGGAAGTACGTTCAGTAGTTAATTCTTTGTCCGTACAGATAATTCCAAGGTCTTATCAAGATTAGATGCTTTTTGTAGCTTAGTACATCGTCTGTTTGAGGGGACTGTTGTTGTTTATTTGGTTTTCATGTTGTACAAGCTGGTGTTCTTACTTAGAAATTGTTGGGTTCGTTGAGAATACTATAAAAGTACCAGTTGTTACCAAACTCCACCAGGGGCGCAGTTAACTCCTTGGGTTCCAGGTCTTACTGCCATTCTGAATGCGCGAGCTTTCGAGCGCTTTGGAATGTATTTTATAACAGAGTCTTGTATAAGACAGAGATCGGTTTGTTCGATAAGAAGTGGAGCAGAAACATTAACGGTCCCTGTTGTCACTATCGATTCTACGGCAAACTCGATACAAAAGTAGCTATTCTCGTCATATTCTTTTTAAATTTTCCACCCAATCCCCTTATTTCTTGGTTTTTTGGTCGTTGTTTTCCCTCAAACTAAATCCTTAATTTGAAAGGATTTTAGGGATTTATCCGTGATCTTCAGTCTCTGGACGGTTTCCCTGCATGGGTAGTTGGACGTGTTGAAGCGATTGCCAGTGGTGAGAATCACGCGATCATTCGTGAAGATTATAAGGTGGTATCTGTGCCGTCACAGATTCATGGTTGAATTTTATGAGGTATCGGCATCATATGAGACACTTTTTACTTGTTTATCGAGATCTGAAGTTATGTTTTCTCTGCGTGAGGGTGATATGTATAAGTAATAGCTGTGAAAGAAGTGGCGGTAGTACTCGCCAATTGTTCTTCAATGTGATTCCATGACTGCGTATCCTTCCCTTGATATATACAATGGAACCATTTTTGCTTGAATTTGTTGTAATGTTTTGAGGTGAATCCTTGGTTGTGTAAAGTTATATAAAAGTTATCCAGGACGGTTTCTGTAGTTATTGCAGGTTTTATAAGCAATTCCACCTTATCTATTCACTTTCTATTTTCACGCTTTGTTCTCGCGTAGAGACCTCAGTGGTACAGTGTGTAATACGCGACCCTCCGGAAAAAGTAATCGTGGTTCGGTCTGGCGAGGGGTCCACGTTTTGCGAATATCCCAGCATCGTTGTCGTTGCATCCACTTCTCACTCAAATGTGTCCTTAACATCAAATGTCCCACAAATGCTGGTCCTTTTAAGGTGAATGCATTTTGTAAAAAAGGTTCCGACCACCGATGAGGAGAGAGCAGTGAAGGAAAAAGAGCGAGCTATCAAGCTTAAGACGTTCTGTGCAGTTAGAGATCTTATCTTCGAGAAACGAGCAAAAGGTTTGGTCTTTTCTCATAGTTTCGACGTTTTGTAATGGTATGTGGACATAGGGGCACCTGTAGCATAATGGACGGGATGCTCTGCATGAAACATGGGATCGATTCTAGCACCCTAGGTTTGCTAAGCACTCCATCGCTCCGAGTTCAGCAAATTAGTACCAGACCTGCCTGAGAGGATAGCAGCACTGGCTCGATACCTCGGTAGGTCACCGATAGTCATTGTAAAGGCCAGATGTGCGTTCAATCGCTTCCAACGGTGCTTAGTGAAGTCGAATGCATGGAGCATCCTTCAGGGATTGAGCACTGCCTAGAGCTTTATCCTTTTATCTTCCATGTGGGCTAACATGTTGATCCTAGCGGATTTATGTACTAGATTTTAAGGGTATAGTGTTTGAATGTTAACGCATATTAATGGTATTTTTCCATAGGCGAGTTGGATGATGAGATTTTGATGTTGACGCAAAAACTTTTGGAAAGGAACCCTGATGTATATACGTTTTGGAACATAAGGCGGGAAACGATCAGTGTGAAGATAAAGGATTTGAGACAAGCGGAAGTGAGTGCCATTGGGGAAATGTACATCGTTTTTATTTCTGTCCAACTTTATGTTGTTGTTCACATTATTCGTTACTATTGTTTTGTTATTATTCACATTATACTTACTTGGATACTTTGATAACTCGCCTTCACTGGTTATGCGGGCACCAGCGTAATTCCCACTTTCGGAGTTTTGCTGGTTTAGCCATTGTGGTTTTCTGGACTCTGGAGGTCACCCGAGCCAAAGTCTGCACCGGGTCAGACAAGTGTCGCACTTGTGGACCAGGAGATTTGCTACCATGCGACTAATTTGATACTAGGGCGATGGTGGATTCTGGTATTGCTTTACTGTTAGCTTGGGAGACCGTGCTGGAAGATGAATGCTTCCGCTACACATCGCAGCTCGACACCCAAGAACACCTCCCAACCATAATATGATTGTTAAAATGGGTAGGGATACGGTTATTATATTATATTGTTGTAGTGTTTATATTTCATTTTTAATTTCTCGCGCTCTGCTTCCGCTCAAAAGTTTTACCTTTTCTTTATTGCATGAGTACGACTTTGTGTTGTCGCATAAGAGCTCTGTGATTTTTTCCACCATATATTTTATGAAACGTTTTCCTATCAAAACCAAAAATTCTTACTTACCTGCTTGATCCTCCATCGTTCTGGATAGCGATGTTTTCAGTTGGCATCAGAATCAAAAGAATCCACAAAAGTCGAAGATTTGCTGCGAGCAGAGCTCTTTCTAACCCAGTTATGTCTTGAGGTATAGATTTTCTTGTGGTGGTTTTTCGTAACTAACTTATTCTAATCCACATTTATTTACATTGACAGTGGCTTGTAAATACATTTTACCCCATTTTTAATCCATTGACATATTTTGTAGGCAAACCACAAGTCTTATTCGGCTTGGTTTCATCGAGGTTGGGTATTGCAACAACAGGAGCATCCGGATGTTAAAACAGAGCTAATGCTTTGTGACAAAGCACTGAAATTGGACTGCAGGTGCATTTTGTGTGCACTCGGTTTTCTGAAGACGTCACGTCTTCAACTTTCATTAAAAAGCATTCCTTCAGGAATTTCCATACTTGGGATCATCGACGAGTTGTTGCGAAATTATGTTCTCTTGAATGGTCTGATGAGCTCGAGCAAGTATTTTTCCTTCACCTGGTTTGATGGTGGCTTCCTACTTTATTCCATTTATTTTATCATTTGCGGAAACTTTTCAGGTTTTCTAATCGTCTCATTGCTCAAAATTTCTCGAATTACTCCGCTTGGCACTATAGGGCGGCCTTGCATCTTAAGGTTGGAAGAACCAACGAGAACTTGAAGAAGCTCGATGAAATGACTATTAATGATGAACTGAAGGTTTTCGTTAAGTTACTTCCTCTGTTCCTTCTGTGCACCTTATCTTGTTAATGATTTATAGTTAAGAATCTTTCTGAACTAGTCTGAAGTACACTGATTTGCTGATGCATTTAGAAAGTGACGTCGGCGTTTTTCACTGATCCCGATGACCAGAGTGCGTGGGTGTATACCCGATTTCTTCTTGAAATGGATTCACGAAGAGTGTTCTGTAAGTTTCCTCGTAATCTTATTGTATGGTTAATTAATACTAGATGGTTTTTGTGTAATTTTAGTTGCCTTCAATCTTTCCGATTTCGAACAAAATTGTATGAAATGACTTCAGCCAAGCCGAAATCGTTAGTGCCATGTGTTCCACTCACTGTCTCCTTTCATGGGAATAATACCACTGTGGTGATGTCCAAATCGTGTACAATTGATGAAGTTTTGGGATTCATAAGCACATCTGAAGAAGCACCATGGAAAGGAGTATGATACTCATCGTTCATTCAGCGTTCACACTGAAAGTAAGGGGTGTTGTGTGTGGTGCTTTTAGATTTCTGCACTTTCTCCTAAACCAGAGTGCGCTAGAATTTGGCAGTGTATCTCAAGTGTTCCTTGTACTGTACGACCTGAAATAGGCAAGAATGTCACTATTGATATAACGGAGCAACCTTACGCGAACAGGGTTTGTCCTAAATATCAAATTTTTATTGGGTTCTTTATCAATTTTGATTAATTGAGTTTCTAAATTTATTATCCAAACAATACGTGTCTTTCCATTCAAGGATTTGCTACTAGAGCTATTCGATGCTACATCGTCAGATCGGGATGTAAGTGTAGTGGCGAGAAAAGTTAGAGATAGCTGTGTGCAACTTATGCAGATGGAGCCCAAGAATATGGTGGGTGGAATCAAATGAGTGTTTTGATATATTTGAATATGTTTCGAAGAAGTGTAGCCCTGGTGTTTTTCCGATGTGAAAGTGTGGGTAAACAAACTTTTCCACCTTTTCGTAAACGTTTTCCTATTCATTCATACATGAGTGTGATTGAATTTCAATGTTCTCGCTCATTTAACGCGACGCGAAGACGTCTAGTTTTGCTTGGCTGCCACATTGGTTACGGCTGGTGGTTTTTCGACAGCAGACATTAATAGTTCAATAACCAGGAAGCTTTGACAAAAAAAGGATAAAGCTGTCGGCGCTGATCGATCCCTAAAGGATGCGCCATTCATTCGACTTTATTAAGCATCTTTGGAGGTGAGTGAATGCATATCGGGCCTTTACAATAACTCGCGGTGGCCTACCAATGTATCAGGTCAGTCCTACCATCCTCGCACATATGTCTGGTACTAATTTGCGGACCCCGGTGGAATAGAAGGCAACGTGAACTTGGAGCGCCTCCGTGCACTGCTCTACACGCGCCCCATCAGAAGACCTAAGTGTTGGAAACGTTATAAGGTTATACAAGAAAACGTCTCTCTATCATTGTGTAGGTATCAGTGATATGCATGCTACTATTACTAGTTATTATTATGGTGCAACATGAAAGCACATTGCTACTAGCATTTAAAAGTGTTTTCCAGCTTATGTTGAGTGTATTTCCTTATTTTCTGTAAGCATCCATTCCATATGATAACTGCGGTTCTTTGTGTTGATTAAAATTAGGCAATACTCAATTTCCCGTCAACCCCGGTTCAAGGAAAGGTTTTCTGAGCATTTATAAGTACAAGATACACCATTTCTCTGCCAGCACCTGCTGCAACATGTGTTGTGTGAGGGACTGATTACAAGAAGTTTAGAAAAGATTATATGCGTTAAAATAACATCTGGGAATTGATATTAGCTCAACGGAGGTCGTACCAGTACCAGCACAAATACCAGTAGCACAGTACAAGCTGTAGAGGTTATGTCGTCTCGTAGGTGATAAAGAAATTCTACCGTTTCATTCTTCTTTGCGTAGATTTTCGTAATATTAGTAATTCAAATGGAACTTATTAGTATGTTTGTCTAATTTTAGTGGGTGCGTTATGTCTACGTCTTATGTCTGCTGGAAATTGATCCTGTAGCCTATCACGACGAAATTCTTTCACTTCTTGAAATGCTGGCAACAGAATTAGATGTGAATAGAAGAGAGGTATTGCCGAAGTAACATATGAATGCGTAAGAAAGTGAAACTACTTTCATTCAGATGTACAAAACCATAGCTTCACGACAAATCCTCAACCAAATTCTGCGGACTAAAAATGATGGTCGAATGCTACTTGAAGATTTGATGGATGGGAGGGTGACCCAACTCTCCGTTAGAGGAGCGCAAGTCACAAGGTTCGGTTCCTATTATGGTCTAACTCTAAACAGTAGCTTTGGTGAAATTCTCAAAAAATAGTAGGCATCAGTACGCGACGATACTGTGTACTTTCTAAATTCACTCGATATTTTGAAGTTTTTTATCCATGGAGTTCTTAAGAGTCATTATAACATGTGGCCAACTGCTAGATGCTTACCCATGAATGTTTTTTCGTCTTTTTTGCATATTTGAACAATTTCAAGTTTGGACGGTATTGAATTATTGGCCGGATTAGTGACAACGCTTGATGTGAGCGGAAACCACTTACGAAATCTCGATGAGGTTCTGATGCCAAATCTCGAATATCTCACTGCTAACGAGAATCCCATAGTAAGGTTGGTTTTGTGATTGTTCCTTTGGCCCAAGGGAACGGTGGAAGTTGGTTGGAGTGAACAAAATGGTTATCCAATTTCGTCGTTTTCTAAATTTATGAGGAGAACTATGTGTGACACATAAACATGCGTTAGAAGAGTTATTTCGATACTATGCTTATCAGCTATCAGATTTAGGGCAAGATTCGTCTTAGAATACTTTTATTATTTAAAATGAGAGTAAAAGTTATTTATGAGGCATGTAGTTCAGCAAGAGTTGTATGTGGATAGGGTACAAAGTGCTCGGAACGGTTGCATATTTCGAATGATTTAATTTCAATGAGTTTCTTTTGCTGAGATTTTTCTTCAATCTTTCGGTCTTTCTTTCTTTAGTGACGATTCCGCAGCTTCTTCACTCTAGACTTTGTGGTAGAGATGGTGCAAGAAAACCGTTGTCTACACTTAGTCGTTCACATTTACAACAAAGCTCTCAAAGTACAGATTGTTTTGTTGCCAAGGAGCTGAATAAGATATCTTTTGGGCACAAATACAGTCAACTCAATTCCATTTTGTACCGATGGAGTAGTACAAAAAATTTTATCAATGAGGGTTCTTGATGCTCTGAGCTAATGAGGCGCTATTGTCGGTATGAGTGATGTGTGACTCATAGTAGCGTGCACAGTCGTCTCCCTATCAATCGACTTTCACACAAATTTAGGCATCATGTTGTATGTATTAATCAAGTCTTGTTCAATGTTTGCGTAACTAAAGTGAGGTGTTCTTCAATTTTTAGGTTAGTCCCAAACATCACCTTTTGCAACGTCAAATTTCTTGCTTTGGGCGCATGCCACATAAATGATGTGGACTGTGTGCTGCCGGCTCTAAAGACTATGTGTGCATTAGAAAGATTTTTATACTGCGAGACTCCTTTGGTTTCGAAGACTGAAGATTTAGCCAAGGAACTCCCATCTGTAAGACTCATTCCTTACTACTTGTGATTTTTTTTCCGTGTTTAAGGTAATGCTACTCGTTGATTTTCCAGGACGTGTACTTTCCAATTTGTTTAAAGTGCTTTATTGGACGTTGATACCAAATTTTATTAATAAAATACCCGTTAAATGACTTAGCTGTGGAAATATAATGGAAATGGTGTGAACTTGGTCTCTAAACCCGAAATATGAGCGAAGAAAGACGAGATCAAGAGTCACAGGCTTTTGTTTAAGAGCTCTTCCTCTTAAAACTGAACCAAGTACTGGAATGAATTTTTGTAAAGCGGTTCTAAATACTGAGTTTCTAGCAGAAATATTCTTTTCCTCCAACTGGCATTCCATTGACCAATGGTTCTTCACTCCGAGATGGACTGTATTCGCCTTCGTTTGTTTTGTACACACCCTCCGGACGAGATCTCATATAACACACAAGAATAGATAACAGCAAAGCTAAAACACCAGCGACAGCGAGACCGATGATTGCTGAAATAAATTCTGTTTAGCGAACACCAACAATAATAAAAAACGAACCGAAACAAGTTTGAATTGAAAGAACAGCAATCAATACAGGAAAGAAAAGAGCAGTTTGTCACTAAAATTCCAAAGGTGCAATGGTCTACAATGTATTGGACTACTTCGTAGACTGTTGATAAACGATGTTTTGAATAAAGGGAGTAGCAATCACGTATTACTTCCAACGATTTACCGCCTCATCATAGTTGGGTGTTCCTGGGTGATGTACTCGGGGAATTCCTCCCCTCAGCTGGGCCTCCCAAGCTAAGGAGTCCGACGTTTCCATCAGGAAACCCAGCTAAGAATAAAGTAATACCAAGATTCACCACCATTCTGGTATCAATCTAGTCGTATGGTGGCAAATATTTTTTTGTTCCACGAGGGCAGCGAGTGCCTGTGGTCGTGACGACCCGGGGCAGGCTTTGGCTAGGCTGGCCTCGGAACTTCAGGGAACCAGAATGGCTAATCTAGCACAACTGAAAAAATAGGAATTATGCCGGGACCCGCACAACCAGTGAAGATGGGCCATCCAAGTATCCAAGGTAATCAAGTAGGTAATCACGTATTAAATTAGTTTGAAGTAACCATTAAAATGAAACACCAAAAAAAACTATTAAAACCAACCATTAAAATGAACTCAAAAGGGATGAAAAAAAGGAAAAGGAATGAAGTTGCGCATCTTTTGCACATGTCGGAAATTGGTCTCGTTTCATTTCTTCTATTTCTTTAAATGTATTTGATTTGACCCGTCTTCATGTCTAGTGTACGGGTCCCAGCACTTCTCCCATTCAATTCGTTTCCTCGCATCCATTGTCCACGAAGATCTTCAACTTTGTGACTTCGATTGCTGCTTGAGGAGTTTCATTTCATCTTGAATGTCGTAGAATTCTGGTCGAGCACTTCCCTGACAAGTCCTGAGTTAGCTGGGTTGGAGCGTTCTCAATGGATTGCAGAGAGTGATTCCTTCCTATATAAGTCCGGTACTGACTTCCCCCGACCCCGAAGTGATGAGAGACTTGGTTGGCACGGAGCGGAATCGGACTAGAACCATGCTCGTGATGACGGATAATCACCACTGTGCTGTCCGCCCCTGTTTTCTCTATTGGTATATTATAACTAAAACTTTGTAATTTCCTTATGGACACAGTAATTGTACTCTTTAAAAAATGTTTCTTGTATGACTCACATGTCAGTGAGATGATGTGGTGCTTAGCATGAACAACAGCATGAATATGAATCTCTTCATCATCCGGTATTCTTGTGGAAGGTTGACGATAATCACTGAAGGGAGCGTAAGTTCGAGCATTACTATCAGTTCTTCGAACAGTACTTGAACGAGTTTGTGGTTAGAAATGTTACATGAATACAGTATAGAACTACTTAAGTGCGTGCCGCTTAGACAGCAACAATCTACTCGACAGCACGAACACTTTTGTTAAGAAATTGATAGATCTATTGAAAAGATGTGTCTTATAGATCTAAGATTGAAGATCTGTAGGTTTCACATAGACCATTAATTCAGGTTTGTTTAAAACATTCGCCACAGTATGAATTGACTTCAATGCATTTTTTCAGTGGGTTCTTTTGTTGCACAGTTTTCCTGCATGTTTTGCCTTGAGGCAATAGCTTTCTCACCAGAGAGGTATGCCATGCGTTCTTCCAAAAAGGGACTTTTGAACCTAATTGTGTACGAATAACCTTCGAACCTGTTTGTCCGCCAAATCAAAGAGATTGCTGTTGATCAGGTGACTACTAGGACATCTTCGTTGGCATGAAGAGCACGTTTGGAAGGGTGCTAGGATTCCTTTGCTACACAAATATATACACATGAACTCGGTTGCGACTAGTTCCTTTCAGCACCTACAGAGTAGCACGAAGGCTAATGCTAATCAATTGCGTACTTATGTCTTTCTATGACATGGAGGCGTTGCAGAGAGTGTATGCGGAGTGGTTTCAATACAACTCGCAGGCGACGAAACAGATATCAAAAATGAAAGAAGTTCAAAAATTTTTGAGATCGAATGAGTGAGAATTTCGTCGTTGTCTAGTTCGAACTAAAGCCAGTTATTTTCCGAGGATATGCGCATTGAAGTCAATACACATCATGACATGGTAGGACTGAGCGCCTTGCTTTCATTGCTCGTAAAATAATGTAATCATAAACGTTTCAGCAAAGTAACAGTTCCATTACACTCACATTACGTCTACCGAGCAGCTTCCAAATCGGATTTTTCCTGAGTGCTTTAAACGAGCAGCCTTCGGATTTTTGAGCGGAAATGATGAACCAACCCGCAGTCGCGATACGCAGCCAGTGTAATCTGTACATTGTTGCTGAGTAAACCAAGGGCTGTTGATGTACAGTAAAATATACATACTTTTATCCAGAAACGTCCAGACGTTGAAGTTTTGGAAGAATGACCAGTTTCCTTCGAAGTGAATGGACGGTTCATCGTCAATCTGAATTCTTGCTTAAAGCGAATCCTAGTGAACAGAGTCTTTGTGGACTCTTTCGATGTGTACTCAACCAGGAATGAATTTAGAATTTGGTTGCAAAATGACGCAGTTTGAAAAGCTGCATATTTTGGCTCCCATGTAAGTGAACTTGATGTAAGAACAGTAAAGATTACAATATGCAGACATACAATACAATATATTCTTGTATTACAATGAGAGCAACGGTTTTTAGAATTTTCTCCCAACGGCTTACCGCTTCATCGTGGCTGAAGGTGTTCCTGGGTATCGGGTTGTGATGTAAAGGCAGGGAATTCACCTTTCCAGCAGGGTCTCCCAAGTTGAGGAATCCGATGCTTCGATCAGGAAGCCAAGCTAAGAGTAAACCAATACCAGGATCCACCACCGTCCTGGTATCAATCTAGTGGCAAATGTCTCTCTGATCCACAAGGGTGGCGACTGCCTGTGGTGGTGAGGACTTGTGGACAGACTTTGGCCTGGGTGGTCTTGGAACTCTAGGGAACCACAGTGGCTAAACGAGCAAAACTCCGTAACAATGGAAATTGTGCCGGGGCCCGCACAACCAGTGAAGACGGGCGAACCACGTATTCAAGTATCCAAATACAATAACATTCATGACACTACTAATGGACACCATGTGTTGTTATTACACGAATGAAGGTAGAAAAAAAACCTACGGTAAGGTTAAAACTCGAGTTCGAAGCGCAGAACTCTACATCGTGCATAATATTATCACTGAGATTCCATCGCTCTTCTAAATTATTGTGATGTGAGGAGAATCCGTCGTAAACAGATATACTAAGATGACCTGAAGAGGTAGAAGTCTATTAAGTATAGTCGTGAGTATTTCCAAAACTGATCTCTTTAAATTTAGTCAAGAAAGTTTATGAGGCTCTTGGTTTATTTCACTGGGAGTGTTCTATAATAATTATAATTATAAGTCCAAACGACTGTTCCTCATGAGAAGAAGAAAATCTGCTGAGGAATCACTCATAAACATTGATGTCGATTACCTTGTTCTTCTATGGACATATTGAATGTGGATTCGGCGAACAGAGCCTTTGACCTCAGAATCGAGACATTTGTTGTGGTCGTCTGTATGGCAATGCGATGGCAGGTGCTCGTATGAGCTGGATTTTGCCACGGAATTTGCAATGATGAGCCCATTGGAACGAACATACTGTACTCTGAAAAGAACGACTTCCTTCTCTGACTGGAGAATGAGCACAGTGCAGGTATGGTAGAAAAACACTTCTAAATATTTAAGGTATTGATCTTAATTAAGAGGTAGGGGCGAAAGATCAAGATATTGACTTCCAAATATGTTGTAAGTGGAATTCGTTTCACATATGTATTATGGACGATTCTCAACGGTACCAGGGATAAGTCGCAAATGAATCTTTCACTTCAACAATCATTTATGGTGAAGTGAGATGTTAACTTGTTACAAGTGAAAAATACACTGGTCGGTGAAATATAACCACAATGATGCTGAGACTGAGATTCTGAATGATTTGCAAAACTCCGGGCCGCAGGTGTCTGCGGCGGTGGTCGAACCTCGCTACTACCCTTTCCGTGGGCTAACGTTCACCACCACACCATACGAGTCCTTCGCTTCACTTTTCTCTCACTCGTGCTTTACAGGCGCTATCAACAATCAGGAAATTAAGGGCGCGTGTGGTGCAGTGGTAGGAGGCGCCCTGCAACACACACGTGAAATCGATCCCCGTGCCCATGGCCCACCAAGCCTTCCATCGCTCCACTGTCGGTCGCTGGCTCGATACATCGGTAGACCACCCCGAGTCATTGTAAAGACCAGATATGCATTCAATCACCTCCAAACGATGCTTAATGAGGTCGAATGCATGATGCATTCCTCAGGGATTGATAAACACCGAGAGCTTCGTCCTTTTTTATATCCTTATCAGCAATCACTCGTCAAGGGAATTGATCTGGGAAGCACAAATCGGCAGTGAACCGAATTAAGCCGAAGCTGTAGTATAAGTCACAATGTAAACACTTTTTATTTCCTGCTTATTCATTTTCATGGCAGGGTATGGTGCGCAATACAACTATAATGAAACTGAGGACGCATGGTGTGGTGATGAACGCATTTGTACCCGGAAAGGGTAGTAACGAGGTTCGATCCCCGCCGCTGACACCTGCGGTCCGGAGTTTTGAAAATAGCTCAGCATCAATGTGGTTCCATTTCATATCACACCCTGGCATGAAAAGAGAATAGACAGTAAATAAAAAAGTGAATGACACTGGTCCATAATTTAAGCGAATTCGTCACAGAGGTAGAAAAAATTATGCCGATAGTTTCTATCTTCTCATATCAGATCCAGACGCTAAAGTGATATTCTCATGTAGGAGTACCTTTGCTGCAATCGTCTCCTCCAAATGGAGTTCCAGAGCAATCACATGCGTAACCGTCGTATTTATCCAAACAGACACCGCCGTTCTTACACAAACCCTCACGACAGTAACCTTCATCTCCGATGTGAACACCTGAAAGATATTTGGAACCAATATGCAAAGATAACAAAGACCTTTAGAGCTGCCGAGAAACCATAAATAATTGTCCCCACAACATGATGTTAACTAAGAATTTGTAACACAATGAAAAATATCTCAGTATGCAGCATTTATATTTTTCTCAGTTCAGTCCTTGAACCAGTAAATCTCTTTCCTTCGAAGCATGTAGGAGGGGAAGTAGCGCAGTGACGTAGATGTAGGTTAACCACGAGGAAATGAACACCAGTTTTCTGGGATCAGCGACGAAGAGCGAATGACCGCATGCTTAACCTGAGTTTTTTCGAACTACGCATAAGAACTTTATCACGCAAGAATTAACATTACTACATTAGAAATAATGGTGATTTCCAAAAACTACCTTTGAACACCCATAACGTGGTTAGGGCGCGCGTGGTGCAGTGGTCGAAGGCACTCTGCAATGCATCTGGAGTACATCCCGGCCCCCAGGCTAACCAAGCCTTCCATCCCTCCAGGGTCGGCAAATTGGTGCCAGGCTTGTCTGAGAGGACAGCAAGACTGGCTCGATGCATCGGTAGGTCACAGCGAGTCATCGTAAAGGTCAGATATGCATTCAATCACCTTCAACGATGCCTGATCAAGTCGCATGCATGGCGCATCCCTCAAGAATTGATCAACGCCGAAAGCTTTTTAACTCTAGGAAGACAATCCGAGAAACATATGAATGTGCGTTTCCATGCAGTTAGTACCAAAATATCTATCACTGACCAGAAAAAAGGACTGACCTTTATTGTAGTCCTTTCTGACCACCGTGCTCAGTTGTAACTCTTCTCCGCACAAATACACGCTTCGTATGACGCCTGCGAAACCCGATGAACCACGCTCTGTTCGAGAACCTTAATCGGTCATTCAGAATAACTCGACAGACTGAAGGGTTAAGTCACATATTACGGATTTCTAACCAACCTACTTCATGCATCTCCCTTCCAATAAAATGAGCAAATGCGAAAGATCGCCGTGACCATCTTACCGCGTAAGATTTGTGTACCGTACGGAAAGGCGTCTGAGCGAATTCAAGCGGACTTCACTCAATGCACTTTGTACTTAGATACTTTCACGGCGCGTTTTCACAAAACATTCAAACCACATATCTCTAGTTCTTTCCAATAAACCTCAACTTCCACGATTTTGTGTCTAGTAACGCTTTCATGGCGTTCCGTCATCCACAAATCCTTTCAGCTGCAACAGTTCACGTGATGAGATGTACACATGCCCGTCCGTCATCCATTGTGTCAGACCACAGAACGTTTGTATTCTACTGGGTTTGAGTGCTTTTGCCGTACATCTGACATCAACTCTTACCAGTGCATGATAATACGCGATTCAGTGTCTACGTGTACTCCTTTGGATCTCAACGACGACACACTTGTTGAAGGTGGCAACTACAAGTTCCGATTCGACCTGATGTCTGTGCGTCGGTTATACGACAGAGAAGATATCTCAAGCACTGTGTAGATTATGCGTGAAGTTCTCCACAAAGCTGAGGCGTCAAGCTGCGTCTCAGCTGCACAGCGGGAGCACTTGACGGATTGTTCGGTCAAACAGTAAGGAGTTTTTAATTAATCAGTTGGTTTGTGGCTTCTCTAAAGGACCTAGCTGTGGCATATAATGCTCTCATTCTTGTTCGCCCTTCGTGTCCTTTTAAACACCAATCGGACTCTGTATATGTGTCTGATACGGTTTTTGTAATCAGAATCACCGATCGATCTTTCCTCAAAGGCCTTGCTAAGCACATCTATGTTGCTTTGAAACTCTTCAACATGAGAATATCGTTGGTAAAATGTAGAGTTAATATGAACCTATCATCAATGTAATATTCCCCTTCGTACCGAATGACTTGATGAACAGCTTTGGTTACATAAGGTTATCTCATCTGAGCCATTCTCCTGTCCCGATGGTAGAAGTCGATGGAAGGCATTATTCGTGCGATGGAGATGCCTTAGCAGCCGGTTGAAGTTCTTATGCAGGCCATTTCCACTCCACATTCATAAGTGACTTTTGGAATATTTGCACCCTTCGAATTTCCACCCTATTTCTCTTGAACTAGAAGTGAGGTGAACAATGATATTTTCGGTGAAAATTTTTAAACACTTACCTATTGTCCACTGATGGGCACTTGGAAGTATGAGTGTTGAGGCGTTGGTTTCGCTAGTTCGTCCATCTACACGTAGTCTCATCCCTTGTGTATCGGCTTCCCAGTAGATAGAATGCCATAGGCCATCGTTGTAGATGGAATCAGTCATCACTTGCAGCGTTTCGCCTCCATTCACGATCTCACCGACAATCTTCCCATCTGAGAAACATTAGATTATAGATTCTACTGCAGTTAAATTTGCATACGAAAATCAACCCAAACTTATGAGCTTCAACATTCGACTACAGTACCGTTTTATCGCCTCACCGTGGCTGGGACGTGTTCCTGGGTGTCGGGCTACGATGTTCAGCGGGCGGATTCATCCCCCTGACAGGCTCTCCTAAGCTGAGAAGTTCCATCAGGAAGCGCAGCTAAGCATAAACCAATACCAGAATTCACCACCGTCCTGGTATCAAAGTAGCATGGTGGCTAATCTCTCTCTGATCCACAAGGGCTGTGACTGCCTGTGATGGTAAGAACCTAGGGCAGACTTTGGCCAGGCTGACCTCGGGATTCCAGGGAAGCAATGGTTAAACCAGCACAACTCGGAAAATGGAGAATATGCTGGGGGCCGCACATCCAGTGATGACATACCATCCAAGTATCCAAGTAATATTTGACCAGACGTGACATAATGTGCAAGTCGCAGCACTTCTTTTATTCGATTCTTTTCCTTGTTTCTGTTATCGACGACAGTATTCTGATTTGCTCGCAAATTCAGATTTCGCTTAAGGATTTCGCTCTTTTTTATGACTATTATTGAACGCTGGTAAAACAGATTCTCCCTGAAAAACAGGGAATGCTATGCTAGGGTGTTCTCAGGGTTTCACTATCTAGAGTCACACGCCTTTGTGGATCGGAGTTTCGCAGAGCAACCGGGTATCACTTCGTGACACTGAATAGATTAGAAACGATGTACACAGGGTGGAGTTGAACTAGAGGTTCTCGAGTACTACTGAAGTCATCTCTACTAAGGCACTGACCGCGTCCATGTTAGAAACTTTAATGGCAGTAACAGAAAGGTGGTAGAACATTTTATACATGAGCAAAGTTACTAGTAACGAATGTCAACGGAACATATATTTGCATCCTAGAATATCTCGTAGAAGGATAAAAACCTATCAACTACATCAAAGTGGAAAGTCGAGAAATGTGGATCGAGTAAATAATGCGAAAATAGAAATTTCAGATTAGAATAGCATCTCCCGTGTAAAGACTTTGTCCTCGAAAAGAAATATAATAGCATCCTAAACTTGGGACATTTTCACGTTAACACTTATTTAGATATTATTCACTTCCTCTCAAGCAGAAGGTGGTGGGAGTTAATTCAGTTAAAACCACTTTGCACAAATCCAATCGTGCGCCAAAGGCTTTTGTCATCTGGACAAAAACCTTATTATCGCAATGGAAGAAGAAAACAACCCATGTAGGATAAACAATTTTTCAGTGAATTCTCAATACGAATATGAACATAGACAAATTCATGGTCCATCCATCCATAGACATAGTCATTAATTCGAATCTGTTTGACTGGATTTTCTCACCTCTCTCTTAAGAGCTGCAAATGCGATAGGTGTGCGATGGGGGACAGAAGGTAAGATAACAAAACTAAAATTGAAGAACGCCAAAACAACGGGAAAATGAGCTCCTCGCTCAGCGGTTTTCACATTGCCTTGTGTTCTAATTGTTGTTATGCCGTAAGCAGATACGTGAACGGCTACGTTTCAGAAGATGGCCATAACGAAAAGAAATGACCAAGTTTATGTGCTCAGACGCAAAAACGAACCATTAAAACATCTCAGCTAATAGGTAGTCGTATACTTTGTAAATATCCACAAAATTCTAACCAAACGATCTAAAACTCTTGGTGGACAAGCTCATAGATCGGAGTTCTAGCACGTACCACAGAAACGGCAATCTATATCTTCTAGAAAGCAATCTATGTCTTGTGGAAAATAAACTTTCTTTGAATAACGTTGGTTCTTCTAAAGCGACATTGTCATAATGAGAATGAGAGAATAAGGCATCGTTGTTGTTTCGTCATGAGGGGTACCATGAATGGTCGCCTTTTAAGGATTAGTTTTAAAAAGGAAGAGGAAAAAGGTATAAAAGCTGTATTCACCTTGAATGTATAGATGCAACCAGTGCAGAGAATCGATGCTCTCCCACGAAAACAAGCTCATATAGGGATGTCTGAATTTCGCCTGGAAAGAAATGTCGAAAGTTCTCACGGAGAGTGTGCGGACACTGGTTAGACGAGAATTCCTGTCCGAAAACGTGATCGGCTCGAACGAGACTGAAAGCAAACCGATGAGCTCATTATTGAAACATATAAGAGCAAATCAATAAAGATGACAACGCTGAAGAGCTTTAAGAACCCGGCATCGTGATGCAGTACTAATCTGTAAGCTAAGGCCTAAAGGTGTGTAAAGGCTACGATGCTGACCTCTTCGGTTGCAGATTAACGGTCCAATTTCCACTTCAATCGATGACGACTTCGTTGTTCCGCCAAGGAAAAGTCCTGTAACCGGGAGCAGCTGCGAATAGGAATTCACTCCTTCGTCAGTCGCATCCTCCCCAGAGTCGCAATTACACATCCTGCAATTAGATGAACACTCAAAAGAACTTTTGTTTCCAAACTTTTAAGATATGATGGGCTTTGTTAACTCATCTCCTGACTATTTTGGTATTAATCGACGACCTTCAGAACTAAAAACCTAGTTCTATGCCCGAATTTGAGAAGTGTCACCTGTTGTGCAGACAAGTGCCATTTGTAGCGCACGAGCACATGCGACTGTACGGTGGTGCGTCTCCCCACTGGAGCCCGTGCTTCTCAGATCGAGTAGAATACCAGGAGGATGGCGAGCGATCTTCGCCCAAGGTCATCAGCCGTGCTCCTCCACGACATGAAAATCGCATGTACTAAACGAGTACTACGAGGTACTTCAAGATGTACTTGGTAACTTGCTTCATAAAAATTCAAATAGAGGTTAAGCTGTGTTGGAAATAAAAAGGGTAACAATGCTTCTTGCGAAGACTAAAGCATCTTGTACCTATCACTTTACCGCAAACCATTTACACATCAGTCATATTACTCCCAGAAACTATACAACCACGAAATACTAGGACAAAAAGTTATTAGCGCATTAGAGAATTTTTTATCTGGTTTTTTAAGAAGCCAAAACAAAATGTGAAGTACTAAGGTTTCAAGCAGTCTTTAGGTAGCAGTTCCTCACTGAAATCGTGTGGCATAACTCTCCCAAACGTATTCCATGTGAACAACGATAGTGATCACTACGTTTTGAATCATGGAAATGCTTAAGTTTGAATTTCAAAGTTTTTCATCATTCAAACACATCTAAGCTCCTAATATTGACACTTGCTAAAATAATGGAATGAAGGAAAAATCAAGATATTAGACAACAAAATTTTTTAGAAAACTTGGTTGCATGTCACAGTTGCCCTGTGGAGTTCTGACCATAGAAAACAGACGGATATCATCGTATCTTCTTTCAGAGTTTTATTGAAGAAAGATCATTGAGTTGAACGTGTTTCTATCGGGAGCTAGACATCTATGAAGCCAAACTACTACCGGGTTGTGTTCAGCAGTTGTCGGAAAAAAATATTAAATGTTTGACTTTGGACATCTTCGCATATAAAACAGTTGCTCACTCATTGACCGTCGACACATAACGGATACTCTGGATTACCTCCTTCAATCACGTAATACGAAGAAAACCTAACATCGCCTCTCGATCGCGCCTTGTGCTGGTAGATTCTTCAAATGTTCGTATTTGGTCCGGTCAGGTGAGTCGCGGTGGCCTAGCGATATATTGCTGCTATCCTCCAAGACAAGTCTCGTACCAACCCGGAGGGATGGAAGGCTTCGCGAGCCCTTGGCGCGGTGATCGATCCTATCTACATTGCAAGGTGTCTGTAACCACTCCGCTACACACGCCCCCATGCTCGTACTCATACATATCGCAATTCTTCCTCTAACATTATTATACACTATTAGTACTTTGTAATATAAAACAAAATGTAAACCTGATAAGAGACTACCGTACCTGGGAACACGTTTCGAATCCCTCAACGAGACGGTCCATCTGTTCAGTTGAAACACCATAGACAAGCTGTTTCCTGATCACGCCAGGATTCGTGTCGCCAGTGACGTAAATAGGTCGCTTTAAATCGTGTTGTAATACGGTGTTGATCTGGAAATCTCTCGGCTAGATGAAATTCGACTTAAGACGACTATAGATGTTCTTGATTTTGCGTTTTTTGTTGAAAACCGTATGAAGAAATTCTAAAAATGTTCTTTCTTTAATTTTCGTTACTTTGCATGATCGCACATCACAAATTGTATGGATCCCAGAATTTCTTGCATTCGATATGTTTCCCTGCATTCATTACCCACTCATTTTTTCCACAAAGGCCTTTGAGCCTTTGAAATTCTACGTGTGGAATTGATGGCTGTTTGAGTATTTATGATCCTGTTTATAAATGCTGTTACGTCTATCCTTCCAGGAATCCTGGGATAGAACTGGTAGGCCCCTTTCGATTGCGAGAAGCTAGTTTATTCCAAAAAATTTTGCTACCAAGTTTCCAAAAGCCAAAGAGTGGGGTGCCTGATTGGCCAAGGGTGGGATAGAACCAAACCGCTGAACGTATTAAACGGCATCACTACAAATGTACTATCAATACGCCAAAATAATCAATGAGTATAATCTGGACGTGGAAAACGAGAGAGGGAGGGCATTGGATTTTGGAGTAGTTCTAAGCTCGACTTCGCCGAATGATTATCGTTAAATAACGAAAAATTGTCAGATATTTTGAACAATGAGACCGATAATTCTTTGCGTTACAATATTGGTGCTCTCTAAAAGGGAAAGAGTTTCAAATGGACTCATTACATACCTGAGCTAAAAAAATATGAATATAACGAGTATCCCCTAGTGCAATGATCGCTTTCAATGATGAGTCTTTCTTGGTGTGAAATATAGACGTACAATAGCAAGATGGTCCTCCAGCAGGCTCAATTCGAGTGAGACGTGTTTAACATTCATTCGGTGGCTCAATAAAATTCTGGGCCGGTGCAAGGATTCAGGGGCCTTCCGATTCATAACTCAAGTGATCATGTTCTAGGATCCTCCTAGGCTCGAATTTCTTAAGGCCTCATGGAAATGAATCTTAATAAACTAACATGGTAGTAGTTAATTGGAAGAAATAATGAGACCATCAGGACTCCTTACGAAGGCGACCCAATCAACAAACGTATTAGTATGATGTTTCTCTCTAGAAATTGATAGCAAAGTTGTTCCAGAAGTGATTCTTTTGTAAGATTATGAAGTTTTCCACATATTTTCATTATTTGTTCAGTTTTATTTGTATTTAGTTGATTACAGAATGTCTAGCCATATCCCCCTTAAGGGCATCGACAACTTTCAGAATTCGATGAACGGCTGTTACAACAACAAATAAAGACAGCACAGTATACTCAGCAACGCATAAGTGGCTTCAGCGTTCATCTTCATGTCGAACGATCGTCTTTAAAGGCGAAAGAGAATGATCAGTTTTAGCACCGGAGTCTGAGATCGTGAGTCTTTTCTTGATTTACTCAGAACTAATCTGTTTGACCAAAAACGGTACCGCTATCATAATCTCAATGAAACGAATACTGAACCAACCACATCGAATCCCATATCGTCCTTGACCATCATGCAGGTGACGAGCATCGGCTTCATTGGTCCGCCACCATCCAAATCAATTGTGAGATTTTTACCAGCTAATGCTATTCGAGTCCGATTTCCACGTGAGCTCCACCACTCTTCGCATGAACGAGGTAAATTCGCTAAAAACTTTTCGTAATTACAGTATACGTGATGAAAACTGAGGTTTCATTTGCAAAGGGTAAAATATTGCACGTGAGAATAAGATAGAATAGGATGATTTTTGGGGTAATGATGAACTTTTCTCAGCATGTGCGCATCGGTGAGATTATGAAACATGTGTCGTACGTTTGCATTCTGCAACAGTTTTATGTGTTCAAGACGTGTAACGACCATCGTCGAAGCAACATCTTCACCAGTTTGTTCAATATCATTCCCTATATTACTTTCTAAATCTTATAACCTCTAGATAGATACCTCTAGATAAAAGAAAAATGATTTAGATTTATGCAGAAAGATATTCAAACATAGGTGTTCGCATGGGTGAGAGAAAGGCAAAACAAGGGTCTCGGTTGGTGTGGTGAATGTGAATATACGTGAGCGTTGGATAAAGACAAGCGCGGGTTCGAAGCTCTCCTAAGGTTCCGAGTTTTACTCATACCCAGCATCCTTGTGGATGAAAAAGAACAGGAAGTAAATAAGAGCTAAAACTGGTATTCGCGTCCATAAATTATGCTAGCGCTACTTGAAAATAAGTACATCTACAGCCGAACCATTATACTGCACTTCATTCAGCCACATTTACATTTTACCTTCCGTACAATTTCACTTTCTTAATAGAAAAGCCGAATAGATATGACCAGAAGCAAACCATTAGGCAAACGTCTCAACTTTTGTCATTTTTACCTTTTCAATATAGGTTTCTTTGAGGGTTCACCAAAATATAATCTGGACAGAAAGCTGTCCCTCTAGAGGAGCTATGTGATGAAAAGCTTCACACTAGTCGATCTTCACATGAATTTCTCTCCGTTATCACTTACCTTTGCTCCATTTGCAATTTATTTCCTGCCTGGCTACCCTAAAGTTTCCAAAATCTAGAAGTACTTCTAGCACAAATTCTGACGATCCATCTAAGTGAATGAAATTGTAAATTTAACTCATGGCTACTTGGTACTTTACATAATAACAATCGGCTATCAATACCATAGTGCTGATCAGCCCAGAAAAGAGGTGGGCATCAGTAACAGCAAAAAATCAAGCTTGTTCAGAACTTGTGCACCAACTCAGCATTTCTAGATTCCTTTACTGCGACTGAAGAAGGTTCGAGCAGAACCAAAATACGCTGTTCTTCAATAAAAAATGCAAGTGATGACATAAGTGTGGTTCCTCGGTTTGGTGATACCCCTGAGCAAAGGTCCACCTCACTGATAGACGTATTTCATAGCTATTTCGCTATCAACTAGTCTCAATATTTCACCGAGTGCAAAAAAGTGCCCGATGAGCACGTCGTGTCACTTCGTCAAGGACAATCCGTAAAAACAAAGTAATTCGCATTAGGAACGCATTTCAACGCGTAAATTACCAATTTATTTAAAATGAGAGTTTCCATTTTTTCACGTAATCATGGGAAAGGTAAAATCGAGTGTATTGTTTTCTAATCAGATTGCTCCAGTTATGTCCTTTTCGATAACGTTTGATTACATCGTGACCGTTATCAGCTACATTGTGATCGTCAGGATGCTTCAGGAAATCCGACGTGATAAACGGAGGAAGTAGAAAATGTGGCTGGCAGGTGTTTCTTTTCTGCTCGTATCATAGCCTAGCTGTTTAGCCGATTACTCATTCAAAGATTCAAACATTAGGGGAGTCATAAAAATAGCCCTTCTTCGAGCAGTTTGTGGGAACAACAGTGGTACAGCTTTGATGTGGTATTCATACGACTTGTAATGAGCAGTTTCATGGTTTGACGAGGTTCTGTGACCAATGTGGTAATAAAAGTAGTACTACATTCTGTGCTATTATACACACTTCTTACAGAAGTGACCTCACATTTCGTTAAGCCTTGGGATGGAGTATGGATAACCCAGGCTGATAAGTAAGGGCTCAATTGAATCCACTGATCTCAAGGATGTTGAAAGGTAACGTAGCGCAATTCTAGGTAGCTAGCTGATAGCGCAAAAATCGTGGGCGATCATGTACTCTGCCTCAGAAGCAGGCGGATTGAAGGGATACAGCGCCTCTCCTGCATCGGGTTGACTCATGTTTCCAGCGGAAACGTGGCCTTATATCTACGTGCACATGGGTAATTACATATTTTATCTGGATATTATCTGAACTTCCGACTTTTTGAATTACCAGCTAAGTTCCTTCTGCGTTTAGAATTTTACTTACACTTACTAGATTAGAAATGCCAAATATCTAAATCTTTAGAGAAACTCACATGAATGACAATTCTTTCCGTGATGTCCTTTGGTGCAAATGCATTTATAGTCAAAGAGCGTCGTTTGATGACAAACACCATCGTTTTCACATCGAGATGGTTGACATCTAGAATTGACATCATTGCGATCAATTAATCTGTATCTTCTAAATATACTGAGAATTGAGAGCGAGAACTAAGCCTAATCAACAATGGTGTTCCGGTGGAGCTTCTTGCAAACTAGAGTCACCATACGTGCACCTATGGACATTCTTGGTCCTATTGTTTTTGCTGGTACACCTTGTAATAGTTCCCAGAATCGACTTTCTCTTAACCTCGGCATTGGAATATGAATGTGTCGTTTTCTTGTTCAGCAATCGCGAGGTTTTTAAACAGCATACATTTACGTCCATAAAAACACAATACAATACAACGCTGGCTGACGTTTCGGCAGTATCGCCTTCTTCAGAGCCTGGAAGGGTATACTGATATACAATCTACTAGGCCAAACGCTTCAATAACACACAAAGACGAAAGACTCTTTGGTAATTACATGTTCAACAACTGGAGAAACTCACCGCTTTTTACGTGACTTCCAATGAGGAAGTTTAGAACAGCTGATTATAGTCGCATGTGGTTGACGAGTGCACCATCTCACATCAGAAATTGATGCGAACATACGGAGTCAGGTCGCGTATGACCTCCGGGCATTCATCCCTGCTATTCATTGTAGGGTTTTGGCATTTATCCAAAAAGCCTCAAGGGGTTTTCGCGCTGGTGTTTTAGTCTATTGTGCAATGAAAGAAAACCAGGTTATTCTATCCGTTGGCCCGTCTACACAGCTGATGATGGGTCTAAACTTAAATGATGACGGATTGGTTGACGCAAGATCATCAGGTGATACCAACTTATGTGTTTTAATAAGTAGGTATAGGACGGGACATGTTGGTCTATCGACTTTAAAGTGCGAAATAACCGATAATTTTAAACCCGCAGCCTTTGCCACGCTGACCCACTGATTGTTTAGCTTTCGGTAGTGACTTTTATATTCCTTTCCAGAGGATGGGCGACAGAGAGTGGCGTCACTAAGATGTTCCTCTGTTATCTCAACATCCAGCTGGCGAGGGATAACTACGAACTTCTCCCCTTATCACTAACAGACAACTTATTGTTTTCGAGTTTATTAATTCTCTAATTTCCCGCATGCCACATTTTTGTGCGGCTGTAAGGTTAGAGATAAACGTAATAACACGACCTAATAACGCGTACGTGATGGAGTCTTTCGACGTTACCGCACTGTACACCAACGTATCGAATGACTCCGCAATGCAAGCCATCTTCGAACTTCTTGTTGAACATAAAGGAAGAATAAATATGCATGGCTTGTCCATTCAGCAGCTAATGGTTCTCTTAAAGGAGTGCCTAAACCGCTCGATTTTCAGATGGTCTGGGAAATATTTCGCGCAAATAAGGGGGTTGGCAATGGGACAGCGATTGGCACCAAGCCTGGCCATTGTGTTTATGTCTAAGATAGAAGCCCCTGTTCTCGATCTCCGGCCACTACTCTACTGCAGATATGTAGATGATTGTTTTGTCGTCTTCTCTACGCAGGAGGAGATGGGCAAATGCTTTGAATTATTGAACGAGCAGTCCGAGTACATAAAGTTCACCCGGGAAAAACCGAGAAGAAGCTGGCTACCGTTTTTAAACGTTCAAACAAACCTATTAAGTAGCGGTTACTTGACAAAGTGGTACCGAAAGCCGAGTAACAAGAACATCCTCGCTCATATCCCTTCTTCCCACCCTTCACACCTACAAAGAGGGCGATTGTGAGAAACATATTTCGAACAGCCACCTCTGTGTGCACTACCAAAGAACTAAAGGGAGAATTGCGCGACTTGGCTCGGCAAATAGCCATCTCCAAAGGCTACGAAATAGTAACCCCACGAGATAAGTTTACAAGGAGAACGACGCGCCCACGCGAAACACTTGGCCAAAACAAAATCCCGTTTATGTTGCCTTTTATAAGCGATGAAGTAAGCGTAGCTATAAAACGATGCTTAAGAAGGCCAAGTTTAGAGGAATCGGTAGCGATAGTTGAAATACCACCGACTACTCTACGTCGCCAATTAGTTCGCAACCGCCTGTATGACCGTCTGTGTGAAACAACAAATTGCGTAATTTGCCCTTACGGCAGGGACGGTGATTGCATGAGTTCAGGTACGATATACCTGATCTCGTGTAACAATTGCGGAGATGAATATATTGGCGAAACGGGCAGACCTTTGTGTATCCGTATAAAAGAACACCTAGATGGCAAACGAAAACTAAGACAAAGCACCCCACTAGGCACGCATAGGATACAAAAGCATAGCGGAGACGATTTTGAAGTAAAAGTCAATATCCTTGCACAGGAGACTAAAACACTACCGCGAAAACTTCTCGAGGTTTTTTGGATAAATGCGAAAAACCCTGCAATGAATAGCAGGGATGAATGCCCAGAGGTCATACGCGACCTGACCCCGTATGTTCTCATCAATTTCTGACGTGAGATGGTGCAGTCATCAACCATATGCGACTATAATCAGCTGTTCTAATCTTCCTCATTGGAAGTGACGTAAGAAGCGGTGTGCTTTTTCAAGACGCTGTTGATTATGTAATTACCATAGAGTTTTTCACATTTTTGTGTTATTGAAGCGTTTGGCCTAGCAGATTGTATATCAGTATACCCTTCCAGGCTCTGAAGAAGGCGATACTGCCGAAACGTCAGCTAGTGTTGTATTGTATTGTGTCTTTTTATGGAAGTATTGTCTATGTATTGTCTTATGTATGCTGTTTAAAAACCTCGCGATTGCTGAACAAGAAAACGACACATTCATATTCCTATTGTTTTTGATTCATTTGCTCGAATTGTTCACTATCCTGTCACATTGTCTATTATGTCACATTTTCACTACGTATAAGTGATAAAAACGATAGACCGTTCAGACATGACCTATCCATTAAGGGAAAAGCTTGACATAGAATCGACTAGCTTCCAAGGTCAATAACAAACTGCCCTTATAACTGTGCCAGCCCATCTGTAACTGCGCTGCTACCCCATTTTAAGTAAATAGCTTTCGATATTAATCGCCTAATTTCCTCATCCAATTAAACATCTTCACACTGCTTCCGATGGATAACTGACGTCTAGTGGATAGCCATTTCCCGTTCCTCGACGTATGACGGCCACTGACCGTGGTTTGATGTCAGTAGCACTTCTATCTTAGATAGGTTCATTTCGACAATATTAAACTCTAGGGTACACAAAGCGTATGTAGGCTCCACATATGTCATTTGATTCCACATCTACATATCAGCTATGTAAATTCAATGGTGCTGAGATATTTGCAAATGTCTGGATCGCAGCTGTCTGCAGTGGGGAACGAACGCGCTATCACCCTTTCCGAGGGCTTACGCGTTCACCACCACACCATCCGGGTCCTTCGTTTCGCCTGTCTGTCCGTTAGTTCTATCGATCAGTGCCATCAGCAATCACCCGTCAACAAGATTGATCTGGGGACTGCATAACACATGATACCCTGCTGTAAAAATTTGTACTAGGCAGTAAATAAAAAGTTAATATTATGTAAGTTCGGCTACTGAATACAGGTAATGTTTCCGTTGTTCTGAATTTCTTCTGCGGAAATATGCGGAATGAAATCTACGGAAGCGACTTTGTGAAAATCGATGTCAAAGGGAAAAGAAGTAGAAAGGGTTCTAAAGAACAGGTGATCTTTGATATCACTGCTGATCGCACAAACCTGTCTACCATTTCGCAGCCGCCTCTGATTACAGTCCTCTCTGCGTGGACCTTATCAAAGTCGATGGTTGTTGACCGATAGCATCCAACGGACGACAGCACCAACGATGACAACCGGGCGGATATTCGACGTACTTCTTGACCTTCCAACCAAAGAACCTTAATAGAATAAGTGATAGAGTTACAAAAACAAAAAACGATATCGAATGACCTACTTTAAAGATAATTATGGCAATAAAGGGCAATGGCTGGCAATGGAGACCTAACGAACCGCTGCCATATGTCCATTGTGACGTCACAATTGATATTTGGGCAAAGGCCACTGTTTTAGTTGACCAATAGCAGCCAGTTGGTAACAGGTTTTGTTTTTGTTTTATATGTAGATTATTTGGTGCTCAGCAGGAAATCATAGAAGTCATTGACATTAAAATACCAAATAGAACAAATATCCATGACGCCTAACATAAAACTCTATAATGTGACTAACGCCACGGCGCATTGGTCTTCTCCAGACCAACGATCATTCGGTTCGAGTGCTCACAGTAGTTCGTCATCACGATCTGGGTCTTCATCGTCTTCCTGTCAGTGGAATCCAGTGAAATAGAGCACTTCACAAACGTGCTTCATCTCGGCTGTGGGCAATCGACTCAAATCATAGTGGCCCCGAAAAAGGTGAATGCGCCGGCAACATCGGCCACAGTGATGAGTCCTGTACATTTTACTTCGCAAAAATTTATGAAGTTAACAAAGTATCGGCCATTCTTGTCGAGCATAAGTGAAAATCGGTGTCCAAATACATCAATAGAACTTCTGTCTTGGAAAAACACGAAATCTGAGTTTGAAGAGCACCACAGTCCCTTACTGGAAGAGGTTCCCAGCAGTAGAAGGAGCAACAACTTGTTCTTTGCAGATAAATATTTGATATCCCCCTTCTTGTATGGCTTATCTCGTCGACATCCAACATCAAATTTTGGAAAATTTGAACCAAATTAGGCATTTCGTACAAGGAGGATTCAACACTGTGAGAGAATGACTACCTAATATTCAACCTGCTTCGTTTAGTGAAGATGAACAGTTTTCTTTCTAGTGCTTCCTTTTTGTTTAAGCAATTGTGAATTCCAGACAAGCCCTCTAGGAATGAGAGCCTAGCAGCTTCACTGTTTCTACTCTTTTTTGCATGATAACCTCTCTGTGACATTTCGCATTTACAGTTTTATTGAAGTGACAGGAATTCATTTTCACCATCATCTGCAATTATGACAGAGAGCCCTGAGCATGTTTGTCTGATTCCTATGCTTAGTGACCAGCTAAGAGTTGATTAAGCATGAATCCTGAGCTCTCTAAAAAAAAAACACCCATATGGGTTTTGTTATCTCACAAAGTGTTTTTGCAGTGCCCTGCTCAAAGATTCCATTTAAGTCCATTCAGTGAGGTAGAAAGGAACATCGTTGCCAGGTAGCAAAGCGACCCAGGAGTTGTGTGAAGTGCATTTTATGACCTACCGTATATCCGTCGATCTCCACTTCCAGACGTGGTCCCCGAATTCTCAACAGAAAACTGTGCCATCCGCCGTCAGCCACGTTAATTGCTGAAAGCACTTAGTGTAAATCAATTGTGATTAGTGATAGAAAAATTAAAGCTCAAATAAAAATGCTCCTAAAAAGGACTTGGATGGAAGACGTAGTTATAATACAACCACTCGTGCCTTGGTCTTCTTTTGGAAAAGTGTAGAACTAGTTAGCATTGTGATTTGAATTACAGCCTCAGCTTGACTGTGTTCAATGCTGATTTGGGCTCAGCCGAGCAATCCCGCTGATTGTTAATGGCGCTTGGTAGATAGAAAAAGCTGAGAGAAAGGAGAAACGAAGGGCCCGCATGGTGTGGTGGTGAACTCGTCAGCCTCCGGAAAGGATAATAGCGCTTTCGTTTTCCCACCGCAAACACCTGCGGTCCGGAGTTTTGCAAATATCTCAGCATCATTGTGGTTGTGTTTCGCATTATACCCTGCCGTGAAAAGTTATGGTAGGCAGCAAATGAAAAGTTAGCACTGCAGGACTAGTTTGCAAAAAAAATTATTCCGTTCGTCTATATCTTCATACAGATAGGATCCGTAAATGATTTAGACAAAACGAGGGACGACGACTGACAAAGTATGTTCCCCGTCTTCAACCACTGTTAGAAATATACTATAGCTATAACTTATGACTTCAAGTCTGTTTTTTGTTTTAAAAGTCATATTCCCTCTCAGCTTGTTCTTCTTTTCATAAGAGCTTGGATAAACATTGTTCTTTTCCAAAATCACAGCGAACTACTCAGCTTACGTTTGAAGCCTTCGTTTATTTGTCCCTGTAGAAATCCCTGATTAGTTAAATTAATGACGCCTACTGATTTGTTTAAATAGGTCGCACCAGTTCAAAAATAGAATGGTTAATAAATACGAGATCAAGTGCAATTACAGCACATGTGATTGCTCAACACTTCATCGACACTGAATGTCCCTATACCTACCCGCGACAGTATGGTTTCTTTTTTCTATATTTGGTTTGACTTACTTCAGAGGTTTAACTGCTGTCAAATATTTGAAGAAGCACCTGTAATGGGGATACTTACATGGATTTGCAATCTGTTTGAAACGAGACGCGTTGCTGACGAGGTGTAACGTCTTCTCTTCGTCGACTGTGATCTGCAACAGGGTCACGTTGTCGGCGTCGAGCATGTCGAGCAGCAACGACGGCACCGGCAGGATACGAAACTCGAACGAGAACGGTAAGAACGTAAACGGAATTACCGCCCGGGCCGATTCGTGCAGAGTTAGAGACGGTGGCTTCGGCATCTGGAAAAAACAAGGCACAATAGGAATTTCGCCTGCGATTAAGGTTTAAGCGATCAGCGTTGATCACTCCCTGAGAGATGCGTCATGTTTTATACACAAAGAAAGTGTAAAGGTGATTAAAGGTTTTCTATTATATACAATGACTTGCTGAGGTCTATCGATGTATCAGTGTTTTTACCCTCTCAGACAACCCTGGTACCAATTTGGCGATCCACGAAGGAGGGTGAGCGTAGCCGACTTCGTCATCTAGGGAGGCGAAGCATGATGAAAATTACTTTCTGAGGTTTCCAATAAACAGGTTGTACATTAACATGCCTTCTTAGAAACTCTGAAGACAGTGAAGTCTGCTGCAAAACTGATCATAGTTAAGCGAACTTTGTACTGAGAACCTCTTACCAGCACATCAAGCATATAAACAGTCGTTAGTCAATGCAACATTATTTGAAAGTCACTCTTTGGAACTTTTTTCGGAATATTTCCTCACTTGGCATTTTTGCCCTCCTCTGCTAGGCGCGAAATTGAGCAAGTTTACAGAGTTCAATTGTAGTCGGGCAACGCAACCAGTGAATGATGTCTCGATACCCTCAGAAAATTCATATGGAGGACGACCACCGATGTGAATCTGGAAAATGCCTATTGTCACTTATTATTTCAGAGATAATACTACAGCAGTACTTCGCTTTATGTCCGTTGTCACGTATGCTTAGTAAAGTGGTTTCCACAATAGGAATAATGCCAAGCAAAAAACTAAATTTCTCTTACCATCAAAAGAAACACGAACAAAAAGACGTTTGAAGCATCGCTCACTAACCAAAGGGTAGAACAGTTTGTTAGAAATAAAAAAAAACATTGAAAAATCAAGATCATTCCTTTCCTCGAAACTACAAGTTCATAACTGCAAGAAACCTTGCGTGGAAGAGTATCCGATCCGCGCAGAGAAAAATACGCAAAAATAGATTTATGTTTAAATAGTGACGCCATTTAAAAATTATTCTTATGTATTTGGACGATAATGGTTCACGACAACGTAAAAAAAGACGTAGTGGTTAAGAATGACCTCGTATTCTTGAGCCTAGACAGGAAACGAAGAATAAACAACAACATTAAAGTATACTAGTCTATGGATAAAGGATGTGAAAAGTTGGTGTATATAGTTTAATCTTGCCAAGTTATGAATCAGGTCAGCATTTTCCAAGGGTTTGATTGCCCCCGGATTCTACAAGGTTTCCTGAGATCCGTAAACCTGTGCTTTGCTTTTATGTTGGACGAACTCTGCTTTATCCAATAGGGTTCAGTGAAATCCCGACTTCCCTGCTACAGTTCATTTACTTATCCGTTGTTTGTTTTAGCGAAAGAAAGAATATGAAGGAATTTGGACTTCTTGGGCTTTAGTAACCTTCACGTCCAATATCTCGGTATATTTTGGCTTTATACCTTATCCGGCTTCAAGACATCGTGGAATTTGAGATGTTTCAAGTACTGCTTTCCTTCTAATAAACTCCATCCATCTCAGGACATCCTATATAATTAAGGATGTTAGTAAAAAAAAAATGAAAACAAGGAATGATGACGATACGATGTTTGGAGCGAAAACTCAACACTGAGGTCACGATTATATTCTGAACTTTTAAAATGGAATAATAATGAGCATTCATTGCATACTCTTACAGCAAACCAACACGGATTCAGAAGAATCTGTTTTAGGGAAATTTTCTTGCGATCGATTATGACACTGCCGAATTCAATAGAAGTAAGCTTATCTTTATTTCTGGAAAGAAAACTAAACGATAGAGACCTCTCCTGATGTTATTCGGAAAGGTTCTCGGTTTTCTAGTAAAACCGTGCCTGCACCACTATTCGACGGCTCTGAATAGAGAAGCTTCACAATGTAGTGTGCCGTTTATAGGGCATCTGTGAGAGGTCTCTCGTAAAACTCATTGATGTCTGCTAATCCTATACTGACCCTATGCAAACACATCACCCATATCCTCCTGACCCATTGTTATTATTGAAGAAAAGAACAATGGATGCGAGGAACAATCACTCGTTGTCAAATCTCCTATAGGTACTTGCGCCACCGTACCAAAAAAATCCACTACGCCTTAGTTCGAATCCAAACGACACAAAATTCCAAAGAAAAGAGCATTCAGAACTACGAAAAAGGATTACTGAACTCAAATAGACCTTTTTCTCACGTTTCTTATAAGATTTAGAGGTCGAAGAAAGTTTACAGAATAAGAAAAACTAGCATAAAAAATGTATGACATGGTAGAAAGCATGATGGATATAATTCCTTTGAATGGAACTCTTTTGTGGCCCTGATTTTCTTTTGTAATTTAGAACAGTTTCCAGACATATGCTAAAATTGACCAGTTCTTACAGATGAAATTTGTTTGGTTTCTATGCGTACGTTTGGTTCCTACAGATAGAGATGCTAAAATTTTAGCACACAGATCCCTTTACAGAAATTTTCGAGGGTTTTGGTTTCCCATTGGCTATAACATTCCCTAATACAAGGTTTGCCATAATAGTAATTATACTTGCTCCACTAACAAGGTGGTCCACGTGGGAAAGGATAGTCCGGTGCCTTTGCTTGGGTGAAATTGTCGTTTGAGATGACCCTGAGAGCTAAGCACTCTACGCTGTTTCTCATCAGATTATTGGCCATTGTAAGCACAAATGTTTACACATTTGTAACGGCTGAATCGTTTGAGTATGTGCGGATAGGGTCGTTGTCTGGATAGAGCCGGTTATGGGTGACAACTGACCACTCAGCGATCCCCTTCGGAATTCCATGTCGTAAAAGTAGTAGTAATCGCAGAAAAATAGTTTTTAGGAAAAGATCCTACAGATCTCTTCCATATCTTTTGTGTTTAGAAGCTATAAAAATGTTGAAATCTTTTTGGGTGTTGTTAGGAATGTTGCCGCACAGAAAAAAGAAACAAAAAGAGGCCTTTGAACAAACAGTACCTGATTGTGGAAATCCAGTTTTCTATAGAGGCCTATGGGTGTGGTTTGATTCAACATTACCCCGTCAACGGTCAGTTGAATGGAATCGAACTGATGCAGCCATCGGAACTCGTGCCATCGGCCGTCATCAAGAGCTCTACCAGCACTGATGTGTGATGGTGCCAGTGACCCTACAACGAACACAATGCGACATCATTTTTTTGGTGTAATTCCTTTAAGTTGATTCGTTCTGTAGAAAATTCAATTGGAGGAGTAGTGGCCATGAATAAAAAGTGCACGCATTGCATTGGCGCCCATAAGGTGACTTTGATTTATCTGTGCTTTCACACACCACTTTAGCCGAATTCGAAGCCCATTGCGCTGTTATTTTGAGGAACAGAAACACCAGTAATCACAAAGTTAACATTATTTCTGGAATAATTCAAGAAAATCAACCAAACCAATCAATTCTGAAGGGTGTCGTTAACTGTGGCATACGAATTCTACGATGCATGGAGAAAGTATTACAAATCATAACGCCATGAAAGTATTACAAATCCGAACAGTGAAAATGTCGCCCACCAAAACCTCTGAGACTATATGTTGATACATTTCTGTCATTTTCTATGTCTTTTAGGTTCACCGTTTCGTTCAAAAATATGGACTTGACTCAATCAGCATATTTCAATGCTAGTGATTTCTGAGATGCGGGAATTAAAGCTTTCGCACGTTCGTCTTCATCGACTTCCGTTTTATGCACCTTTCACTAACATGGTTGTGCTATTAGTAAAACATTGATTAGAACGCGCTTTAGTAAACAGAAATTGGCAGAATAGTCAAAAATACCGAAGTCAAACATGACGTGAACGGTTCCGTGTAGAACTTGAGCGATGAGGATGTCTCCCTGGTCGGCCACCGAGAAGAATAGTACTCCTGAACGATATGAGCGAAACAGTACGACCAACTCATTTTCGTACATCGAAACCAGACCGGCGCGATGTGTGTCGATCACATAGGGGGTGTCGTCGAACACCGTGATTGGCGACTCTGAACGCAGCAAAGTGTAGCGCCGATCTCCTATCACCTATTCATTATCATTCAATGTTCTCATTAAAAACCAGTTTTTCACAAATGATGTGGTAATGATAAGCAAAAATTCCTAGTGGGATCGTTTGAAAAATCGGAAGAAGACTATGACTTATTCACCGCCAGCGATGTTAGATCCCCATGGACGAATCATATTGATTTTACGCTCTGTATGGACGTATTAGTTACAATACAATTTTTATTTACATAGCAAATTTTCCAGTGGATCGTTCTGAGAGCGAGATAACTTCATAGTGTACCAGCTTCGAAGAGCTCTAAAATACTGTATCAAACAACCATGGAAATCTAAAGGACTGAATTGAACTATTGAACTGTTTCACAGATGTTGTACAAAAAAAATATGAAGCAAGAAGGACCTTCCTCTTATTTCTTATCCCATTATTTCGAAAAATAATTAGTGATTACTAAGCCAACTCCTTCCACTTCCTCCGTAGCACTCCTCGAATTTAACATAAGACTACAAGGAATTGAATGTATGCTTCTCTAACCATACAGACATTTTTGAGAGCTCTTCAAAAATTAACCTCAACGATGCTGAGATATTCGCAAAATTTGGCCCCTGGGCCAGATCGAACCACGATTTCCCTTCCCGAGGCCTCGCGCATTACACACTGCGCCACGAAGGCCCTTGCCATCCGGAGTTCAAGTTTTGCGAATATCTCAGCATCGTTGTGCTTGATTTCACATAGTACCTTGCCGTGAAAATTGTAGTAGGTAGTAAATAAAAAGTAAACATTATGACTTCAAAAACTAGTCATTGCAGCAATCATACCGGTATCACAAATTGTGAGCATCAGGAGCGGATTGTGTGTGTCGGCCTCTTCCAGTCCATAAGCGTTCTTAATCCTTAGTTTTGAAGCGAAGAAGTCAACGTGATTCCATGATGGGCTGTGCGACAGCGTCGAGTAGACAACCTAAGCACATACATTAGGGCGAAGCTGTCAATAGAGAGCAGTCAAGTAAGTGATTAACAACAAACACGTCACTTGTCCATTTCTCAACCACTGAATTCGTTTGTGATCATTTGAGGAACACGTTAATGTTATCTTATAAAAGAGAACACATCTTTGACAGGAATTTGGGATGGTCCTCTATTTTATTTTTATTAAAAAGGAAGCGACTACGAATACAGTAGAGCCTAGTAACCTTATACGAAGAGAAGTAATGATAACGCCAGAAATTCTTTAGGATTAAGCATATCCTTGTTTTAAGTGGTAGTATAATAGTACAATAATACACTAAATCGATGTTAACTTTTCATTTTCTACCTGTTATTACTTTTTCATGGCAGGGTATGGTGTGAAATACAACCACTATACAGTACAAATACAACATCTGATTTGTGTTCCCCAGACTAATCCCGTTGACGTGTGATTGCTGATGGCAGCGTTAGGCAGAAAACTGGCTGAATGAATGGCAAAGCAATGGCCTCAGTGGTGCCGCGCGTGATATGTGAGCACACGGAGATGGTAATCGCGGCTCAATCTGATCTGAGGTTCAAATTTTGCAAATATCTCAGCATCATAGTGCTTGTAATACACCTGATCGGTGGTCGGCAGTGTGCGACCCATTGCGGAGTTGGTTAACGACGAAAGAATGACATCGACCCAAGAAGTAGTCAATGTTCATGAGGGATCCATATTTTCTGACTCGATAATCTTACAGAGAAAACTAGTGTACCGGCTTTCTTGTTCGGCTAGAATGATCGGTAATGTCTACTACTGCCAGTGATTTTCATGCTTTACATTCACATTTGCAAGCAAGAAGGAGCTTCTAGTTCAGTATTTAGAGATGGTATGTGAACCACATAGTTGTTTATTTGATCACTCTCCCTCGGTTAACCAAACCTCCCATTTCCTCAGGGTTGGTAGATCGGTGTTATAGTACGCTATGAATATGTAAACCCTGCTTCCATACACTATTAAAATCTGCAACTTATTGTGTAGCGAAGATGCATGCAATCATCTTTAAATAATCTGAAGTTTAAAGGTGTTGAACACGCATCGCGGCCCTAACTGGAAAATCAGCGCGGAGTGTTTTCTTACGCTTTAAAAAACTATTTTTAGAAAATTTTTGATTGTTACGTCATGACAAAGAACGATATTGGATGATTTTAGTAAATTTAATCCTAATTTTTCACGCACACTGCCTCAATGTGATGTAACACATCTAGGTGTGACATAAATTCCACACTTGCAAAAGTCGTATTTTGAAGCGCCCAGAATTCGCTGGAAGATTAAACCTCTTAGAGGCAATATCAGTCGGGACTGGACTTGGTCACTTAAAATTCATGACCTGGAAGTGGTTTTGAGGCCTGGAAGGATGAAGTGCGAGGTCACCCTCGTCAACACCCAGCAGCCAGCAAATCGTCGGTCATTTGGCTAGCAAATTCACGCGGCTCATAATGTCATTTCCTCAAATTTGCCTAAGTGATGACTTGTTTTGGTTGCTGCCGTCCTGAAAGCCATAGTCGAAGCAGTAATGGATGGGAAGGATAAACGCTGGAAGGTTGAGGTTCATCAAGTGTCTCCAAGTTCAGAAAACTGTCGAATTCCTACATCAACTTCGTAAAGAACGATTTTCGCGAACGACTATTTGATTTTCTACCACAGATTCGAACACAATGGATACCACAAGCACTCGGATGGTTTGCTTTTCCAATATCAATTCCAAAAACACTTTTCCATCAATGACGTTCCGAATAGAGGGCAGCCAATTGTCCACTCAGCTGACAAATGAAATCAAAACAAAATATTGAAGAGTTTTATAACCATGAAATCCATAAAATAATGAAGCAAGACACTCAGATATAACCATCCCAGGAAGGGAAAACTCAAGAGAACGCACAAATATTAGAGCATCTTTTACATTGACTGTAACACAACTACTATAATAATCGGGTATTTTCTTAGTTCTCGGGATCCTCCGAACAAGGGTAGACTTAAGTTGGTACTGCAATTATTTTTGTTTCAGCAAAAATAAAAAAAAACTTCCTAAACTCGATGGAGCCCATCACAGCATCTTGTCTTTGGCGATCTCGACTGGAGATCGAGAAATTCTTCTCAGTGATTAATCACAAAGGATGCAACTCCCAAGACCGCCTTTCTGCTAACCTGGGCATTGATTGATAATTCGACGTTTTTCTTCAATAAGCAGACACGAGGTTGTTATTACAGAATTTATTACTAATTTATTAATTATTATCATTTATTAGTTTAGAATAGGCTATTGTATCCTAATAAATCTATAATAAACTCGCGTTTGCTCATTGAAGAAAAACATCGAAAGATGCAATTGTTCATAACCAGCTGTTCCCCAAAGCACCAGAGAAATTTCGTGCCTAAAAATTGTAGGAAAAACTAAGCAGAGATCACATCAACAATCGATATCGCTGCGCCACACTTCGCATATTTTACATTTTCCATTTAAAGTGTTAGGAAATGAAAGTCTAAATTTCTTTCAGAAAATTACAGGTCGTTTCCATTGTTCGAGAGAAATTCATAACATCCAAGTCATTTTCCCCTTCTTATTTAACTTTGGCGCTTAAAATTGAGAGTAGGATTCGTACAACTATCTGTACAGCTGAGCTTCTCGTGAGGAAACCGCCTTCCATAACAACCTGTTTGGGGGTCGACGTTAATAGATAGGGCGCGCTTCGCAACATCTATGGATTTTTGATTAGGAGAATTTAGGCGAGAATTTACGCAGAAAAGCTGAAGTTCTTTCGGCTTAACAATCACTATAAGCTCGCTGCTTTTAAATATATGAAAAGATTATTTAAAAGGTACAAATGGAGGAGCTTCATGAAGGGAGTTTCATGATGAGAAGGACATAAGGAAACCTGAAGTGAAGGACTGCGATATATTCGCAGAAATATTGAACAATGAAGTGTTGTTTCGAAACATGACAACATTCCTATGCCTTCTGAAGCTGCTTTGTATTTGTTAGACAAAAAGATAAAGCTCTCAGCACTTAAAAGAATGCTAGAGCTGCTCAATCTTCAGATGGTCCGGAAAGTACTACGCTCAAATAAGAGGGCTGGCAATGGGACAACGGCTGGCACCAAGTCTTGCCATTGCGTTTATGACTAGGGTGGAAACACCAGTGACCGATCTCGAGCCGTTACTCTACTGTAGATATATAGATGACTATTTTGTACTTTGCTCAACACAAGAGGGAGTGGACAAAAGTTTCGAGTTGTTGAACGAACAGTCAGAGTATATCAAGTTCACCCGAGAGAAACCGAAAAAAAACTGGCTTCCATTCCTGAACGTCCAAATTAACCTGTCATAAAATTGCTACATTACGAAGTGGTACCGAAAGCCAAGTAGTAAAAACATCTTGGTTCACTACCTCTCCTCACAACCCTCTCACACGAAAAGCGCGCTTGTAAGAAACATGTTTCGAACAGCAACCAACGTGTGCACGGGAAAAGAGCAGAGAGAGGAGTCCCTGAACTTGGCGCGGCAAATAGCCATTTCCAATGACTACGAAACTGTAGCTCGGGATAGGTCTAGAGAAAATCCTAAAACCCCCAAACGACAATTCTAGCGATAAAAGGTTCCGTTTAGCCTTCCCTTTATCTCAAATGATGTAAGTGCAGCTATAAAACGCTGCTTAAGAAGGGCGGGTCTAGAGAATTCGGGAAACGTAGTTGAAATGCCACCGAGTACTCTTAAGCGCCATCTAGTTCGTAACCGCCTATATGACCATCTATGTGCAACGCAAAATAGCATAAATTGCCCTAATGGTAGACGGTGATTGCATGAGCACGGGTACAGTTTATCTGATACCCTACAAGGCGTGTGGATACGAATATATTGGCGAAATGGGTAGACCATTCTGTTTCCGCATGAAAGAACACCTAGTCGG